TAGTTAAGATCTCTTATGTCAATGGTTGTGGATATTTTTAAATTATTAAATTAATTAAAAGTAAAACTTTTTTTTGGATGAATGGGAAAGTATAGACCCTCTGTAAATTTTGTTATTGCTCTCCGTGTCCTCGCTGGAGAGAATAATCCCTCTGTTTGTCCTTTATTCATATATTTTTTATTTTTGCAAAAGAAGCACATACACAGGGAATGTAGTAGAATGCAGACACCATTGTATAAGCAACATAGTGGTCATATAAATCACAAGGATGGTACATTAACACTGTCAGCAAACATTCTGGTATACAACCAGTTATGCTTCATTCAGGATATTGGGGTTGATTTACTAAAACTGGAGAATGCAAAATCTGGTGAAGCTCTGCATAGAAATCAACTTTCAGGATTTTTGTCAAAGCTTAATTCAGCAAACTGAAGTTAGAAGCTGCACAGCTGCACCAGATTTTGCACTCCCCAGTTTTAGTAAATCAACTCCATAGAGCACAAGGACAACTGGCTGCAAGTGCTAAGGAGGTGCTAAGCAGGAGCACACATTACAGTAAATGTATTTTAAAAAATTGGTTAAGAAACTGGTGAGGTAATGTAAACTGGGATACAGAGGTCTAAAGTAGATGGGAAGGAAATTCGTGGAATTAGTAGAAATGTAGCCAGAAGGCAATATGGTGCAATTGGCGGAGATCGGGGGTGGTCTCAATGGTGTGGATTTAAAGGTGGTAGATATTCAGGTGTTCATCTCCTCTCCATGGGCCACCAGATGACTGTTGCTACTGAGCTAGAAAAAAACATTATGAGAGTCATAAAGGGTAACTTCAAAAGGAGAGCTTCATATTCAAAGGTTAAAATAAAATCAATCAAGTAGAACCAGGTCTTCCAGAATTTTTCATGTGTTCCTTTGTTGGAAAAAATGGGGAGAAGGAACATGTGGTGAATTATGTAAATTTTGGCCAACCACAGATAAGAGTTTGTATACGTTCTCCTTGGCACATAATTGTAGTGTAAAGGAGGAAGAAACAGGTCAAAGGGAACTGCGAATTCAATGAATTTTAGTGTTACCTGCCAAACTTTAGTCCAAAATGGTTTAACAACGTTGTATGACCAGAAGATGTAGAGTATGACATAAATAGTATTGCACTGATTTAGGGAGTATCGTAAAAAATCTGTTTCCAGTTTTAGAGTTGTATAGTATAAATGAACAATCAAACATTCATAAAACAACATTTGCATTAACGTGCAGATACACTTTACATTTTCCAGTGCTCCACTCAAAAATTAAAATACAATTGTACTCCACTTTTCTTTGTAATATAAATAAACAGTCAAAAAGTTAATCAATAAAATTTTACATAACCATGTTAATGTGCACTCGAATGTCCAGTATTCCACCCAAAACTGAAGATGCAATTGTGCTCCACCCTTTTAAATAGACATCTAATAGTCTTTATGTTGATAAAGATTGTGATTGTCCCAATGAAAAACTCTGGTGCTCCACTCAAAATTGCAAATTCAGTTGTGCTCAACTCAAAACCGCAAATTAAATTGTGCTTCACCTCAAGTGTAGTGAGCCTTAATATGCGTGACCTATGTAAGATATAGGTCTACAAGCACTCATCCCCCTCTAGGGTTAAAGCCAAAGATTGCCTTCCTCCCAAGGTTGGGACTTGACGCCCTTTAATCAATATTCCTCCGACAGGTTCCTTTACACTCATGAACAAATGGAGACTCCCATAGTTCAGTAACTAACACACTTATTCATCAAAAATTATATAAAAGTACACTCACATTCTTCAATGCACTGCACATGGATGCACAATAACAACAAGCCAACAGTCAGATGCAGTTATGACGTGAAAAGCTGCTCTGGCATCAGAACATTTTAGATCCTTGTAGTCAAGTCACTCGGATCCGCCCCATGCGTATCGTCATCAATAACATGAGTCCTTCATCTCCTGAAGATTTTTAGGTACCATAGTTTGTTGCCATTCCTCAGGTGTATACAATTTTAAAGCATGCCATGTTAGGTATCTCTTTACTTGGCATAACATCATCTTTTCTTTTAACTCATTAAAGTGTATTTTTTCCCCAAAAAATCTTTAGTTTGATAACCGCTGTGCTACAAACATTGTGCTACATTAGAAATTGCAACAACAACCATTAGGGTTTTTTTTAGCAAAAAAATGCATATTTTTAATTGTAGGAGAGAAATGTCAGACTGTAAGTGATTGATGAAGTAGGGGGAGGGTTGGACTTCCAGTGTTTGACAGTAGGAAAGTGTATTTGGGAAATAGCCTCTAAAAACTCTTCTTGGAAGATTGGTGCTCTAGGGAGGCTAGCATTGTTTTAGAGAGATGGGGCATGGCTGCTTCTAAAAAGCATGCAACAATCTTGTTTCTCAAAGAAGCCTGTTGCAAAGGTGTAGTAATCTCAGCAATGTGTGTTAGTGTAGAGCACTTACAGCTGTGTTTGTCCTGGATTTTAGAGATTTCAGTCTGCTCTTGTTAGGACCTAGATAGAGCAATTTAGGACATTTGTGTAGGACAGGAAGTTTGGCCAGTATATATTGAGCTTATGGTTTTTTATGTACATATAACACCCTCCTAGATAGGTGCTAGGATAAGTAGATTATAGCTTTTTCCTCTGCGTAACCGAACTGTTAGGAAAATTTACTTGGGCTTTCTGCTTAACAGAGAACTGCAATTGTTAGTAGTGCTTTCTCAGTATGTTCAAGTGCTGCTAGTTCTGCACGTGACTTCCTCTGTATCCAAGTAACCTAGGAAGATTCTGGATGCAGGGACGGACTGACCATTCAAGCACTCGGGCACTGCCCGAGGGCCCGGGGTCAGTAGGGGGCCCTATGAGATGCCCCTGGTATTATTCATTGGCTTTTTAATAGGCTTTTTTTGGGTGTGGGCAAGGGTACAGGGGCCCCATGATCTCCTATTGCCCAGAGGCCCCGTGAGTTGTCAGTCCGCCCCTGTCTGGATGTATAGGCGGAACTCATGCAGGACACAGTATAATTATTATTGCCACTCCAGTCCATCCCAGGGAGTGCAGCCCTGAGGAATGCTGGGAGAGGGCATTTATTCTTTGGGCATACTAATCCCTGGGTCTTTCATGGAGAGGTTTGAACCAGCCTGGGGGGAATGTATGCTGCCTCCTTAGGCACCTGCTGCCATGTGGCTTCAGGTGGGCTACCTGAGGGCCTGAAGTGAGAGAGAGAGAGAGAGAGAGAGAGCGAGAGTGACCCTTGTTCTTCAGTAAGCTGACTGAGGGGAGCTGTCTGCCAAAGATCTGTCTGGTATAACTGGAGAACATTGCTTGGAAGATTGGAAGGAGGCTACCACTCTGTAATTGGGCCTTGTGAGTACAGGGGACTCTGTGTGCTTTGCTACCCCTCTGGTGCTTTATAGTCAGTGTGGGGTGTCAGGAATGGACTTGCCAGTAATGGTGGGACTCACCTGCCTTGTGGGCTGCAGTACCAGGGCTGGCCAGCGGGTGCTCTCAACAACCAGAGGTTCACTTCGGCAATTAGCCATCACCTGGGGCCGATTGCAGGTGTATTTAAGGGATGGTCAGACCTGCAGTCTGTGCCTTGGTGTGTGTTTTTCCATGGGCCCCTGTATCTTGTAACCTGCGTTCCTGGTCCTGTTCCTGTTTCTGCCTCTGCCTGACTTGTTGCCGACCCGGCCTGATCCTGACCTCTGCTGACTTCTCCTGTTTTGATCCCTGGCTTGTGACCCTGACCATTCTCTCCGCCTGCTCCTCCTGTACCTACCTGCCCGATAGTTATCGATCCGGCCTGCCTGATTACGTTGTGCTCTATATGTGTATGTACCTGTGTATCTGTATCAGTTTAGGTTTGGGTTTGTTTCACCTCGTTGTATGTATTTGTGTTAGCTTGGGGTTTGGTGCACTGCGTTTATGTTTGTATTGTTAGTCTTAATAAATTGTCTTATTTATACCATATCTGAAGCTTGCGTTTCCCTGTGTCAGTCCACACACATTTCTGGTCACACCCGCATCCCTGACATTACACCAAGGCCAATCCTGACCAGAAGTGGCTGCACAGGGAAGCCATCTTGGCTTGTTGCTGGGAAGGATGGATCTTGATGAGGTTGTGTATTTGTCGCTGCTGGTTTTTGATGACAGAGAATATGCTTATCAGACTCTGAGGGAGTATACCCGGGATCAACTGATAGAATGTATACGGATCGCTCATGTTCTAGTAGATCAGGGCACAGAGTTCTCTGAGGTGCAACCTTTGATTCAGGTTTGTGTAGAGTTGGCTTCATCTGGTACCCATGAAAGAAGGAATGACTTTTTGCCACCATTTAGTGCAGACCAGGTAGAGTCCCTGGTATGGTTATTAGAGGATGATGTGGATTGCTTCTTGGAAGCATTATGCTGCATGTTCACCACAGGTATTAAGGGATTGTATAAACGCAGTGCAGTCTTTGACCAGACAGGCTTTGTGTAAGCTCAGTTTTGTTCAACCCATACTGCAGACATGGTCAGACTTGTTGCACCCAGCCTCAGTCAGCTTGCAACGTCATTCCTCTGCTCAAGGCACTCTTCCTGCATCCCCGACAGCACCCCCAGTGACGGCCCAGTATACTCTGCTAACTACCACATACCAGTCCCCTGCTCCCACTCGCTGCACCTATCCTTTCTTTGGCCCTGTGGAGAGGTCCTCTGTGGCGGCTGCTCCCTCCTCTGTTCCATCTTCCAGCTCTTCTCTGTCCTCAGCTGCTCCATTCGTTTGCAGACCTGCGTTTACTTGCAGTGCTCCAGTAGTTAAAACCAGAAAAAAGCGAAAATTCTTTCCAACCAGTACCATCCTGCCAGTATCCAAACCGATGAGCCTGCCGTCTGAGAACCTGCCTTCCGTGGTTCAGCCTGGTGCCTCGGCACCCGCACTTCAGCCTGATGTCTCTACCCAGCCTGATGTCTGTACCCAGCCTGATGAACTGATCCAGCCTGATGATCCTATCACGCCTGATGACCCAGTGCCCGCTGTCATACCTGGTGACCCGATGCCCCGCTGTCGAGCCAGACAATCCAATGCCTGATGACCCGGTGCCCGCTGTCGATCCAGACGATCCGGTACCCGGGGGCCCGGTGCCTGCCGCCCCTCCTGGGGGCCCAGTGCCTGCCGCCCCTCCTGGGGGCCCCCAGCGCCCGCCGCTCTGCCTGGGGGCCCGGTGCCTGCCGCCCCGCCTGGGGGCCCTGTGTCTGCCGCCCTGCCTGGGGGCCCTGTGCCCGCCGCTCCGCCTGGGGACCCGGTGCCTGTCGCTCCACTGGGGGGCCCGATGCCTGTCGCTCCGCCTGGGGGCCCGGTGCCTGTCGCTCCGCCAGCAGGCAGAAACATTAGGCTTGGGCCTCAGTCAGGTAAGACCTGGGCACAGGGGTAGAGTCTTCTTCCCACCCACATTTCTTTGAAGCTTCCAGACTCAAGACCCTGAACCAGGAATTACAAACCTGGAGAGAAACAAAAACTGTTTTTATCTACTTGGAACACTACTCTGAAGCCCCTCACAGTAGTAAGGCAAAAGATCAGATTATGCGACAGGCAAAAAACATGATCAGTTAACAGGGTGAGGTCAGTTCAGGTGGAAGGCAGAAATGTGGTTGATAAATAATCCAGATGGCAGGCAGAGGCATTGTCGATAAACAGGCCATGGTCAGTTAAAGTGGAAGGCAGAAACATGGTTGATAAACAATCCAGATGGCAGGCAGAGGCATTGTCGATAAATAGACCAGGGTCAGTTAAAGTGGAAGGCAGAGACATGGTCAGTCGAGGCAGCAGTCAAATGATTAGCACAGATTTTAGAAATATGTTAATGACAGGATGTTAGACATATTGGCAGTATATCTTCACTGATATCTTAGTGATGTGTGGTAATGTCAGAAGCAGTCTCCGATGCATAGGCCCAGCTGGGACATTAGGGACAATGTAAACTGGTGTCTCTCCTAACTCCCCCTCAGCTGCATATCCAACATTTTTTTTTGCATCTTCTGCTTTCTTCTGTGGGTGAAATGTTCTCTGGGAAATTTGCTTACAGCATCACAGCAAATGTTTTCTGGTGGAGGTCCTTACTAGTAGAGCATGGCAGTGAGAATATTTTCTATAAATTTGAGAAAGGAGGTGAGTCTTTCTGTGTACTTGTGATAGGTGACATATGAATTATAAATTACCAAATGGAAAAGTAAATTGAAACATTTTTATACCAGTAGAGGAACTTTCTTGTTTCTAAATAGGGCTGTAGCATCTGATCATTGAAATCCAGCCACACCCAATGAACAAATTGTAATCATGGATGAACTTTTGGATGGGACTGCGTCATCCATGAATTTCCACCGAGGTGTCACTGTGGATAGAGGACAGGGCATATACATCTCTCTTATCTCTCCACCGTATGGTCAACACTTGATTGCTTCTCAGACTCGCTGATTCCCCCATTTGTAACCTTGCAGTCACCAGCCTTTGTGGGAAGCGCTGCCTGTTTGTTCATGTTGTTCCACAGGCCATGGTTTTCTGGAGTACAGGTGGTGGAAAAGAGGAAGGCTTCTGTAGAAGTTGTCTAGATAAAGGTGATACCCCTTTTTGAATAGTGGAAATGTCAAGCCCCAGACAAATTTTCCACTTGTGCTGATGTAGGTTGGACACTCAGGGGGCTGAAGCTTGGAATCTTTGCTCATTGACACAGCTTGTGGAGCTTCACTCCATATCTGGCCCTTTTACTGGAAATGTACTGCTTGATTCCCAGCTGGCCAGTGAAATGGACAAGGGACTCATCAACACAGATGTGTTTGCCAGGCATATACAATTCAGTAAATCTGTGGGAAGAAAATGAATGAATGGGTGAATAAAGCTAATCTGAGCCAGGCTGATCTCGAGGAGGGCACAGTGTATTATCGCTGAAAGAGAGGAAGCACATGATCATTTCATAGTATGACCTTGACATAACAGCTGAATAAATGGGCATGTGATGAATGAGGTGGGTGGACTAGTAGAGCATACCCTTCATTTTGAGAGCAGCCATAATGGGTTTGCAAGTGTCTCTGGGAGACTTGTGTGGGCCCTAATTTTTGTGGTCTGCTGTGATACCCCAGTACTATTACTGGGCCTTTCATCCAGGGGTCTAGTGGCATTGGTACTTGCCATCCACCATTGGGGTGTATGGCGCTTGGGGTAATGTCCTGGTCTTCAAAGCGCCTTATCCTTTTAGAAGGGACTCTTCTCTGATTTGGTCATTGACTCACTTCGTACTCCAAATTCTAATCGCATGGTGAGAGCTCCCTGTTGCTCTCACCTGTCATACTAAGGATCTGATATGCCTCCTCACTACTATTTTGGACATAGCTGGCTCTGGAGACACTGGAACATGTATACTGCTGATGGTGGCTGTGTGATAGGTACACTGCTGATTGTGGTCAGAGGACACAGCTCGCCCCGGGGGTGTGTACGAGCGGCAGGTCAGGGAAGACGGCATATGACATCCACCCAGAATGTGAGCACTCCTGCCTGGTCATCATTCTACTGTAAATTGGGTGGTAACCAGTTAAACCCCTTAAGATGGGTTTCATTTTAAAAGATGTTTTCTAAATGGATTTTGCAACTGCATCTTTTGAAAATACAAATTCTCTGCCTCAACATTTTTGAGTCTCTGACCCTGAACAAGATGTTTAGGTCAGAATCTTATTTTGATATCTCTTATCGCATTATTGGTCTAGGTCAATGACAGGAAAATCAGCAGTAACATCTGTATTTCTTTTCAAGAGAGATTTTTTTAGGCTGCAATAACATGGGCTTTTTTTAACCACTTCAAAAGTGCTTGGTGGAATTCTTACTTTTTTTGGGGGTTGTCTGTACATAAGTTAAGGTAAAGAGTATTTTTGTGAAGAGCAGAGGAAAGTTAGCACCACAATCTGTTTTTGTTGCATTTTGTGTGTATTTTGGATATCTTCCCTCACTTCCTGTTCCCTTAATAATATTGTAACCAGGATAATAAGTGTGGAGCTGCAGACAAAACCTCTAATGCTATACCTGTAAAGGAACCGACCCAGACTGCGCTTGAGTACTTCCGTTAGAATACCGCTTCCCCGCCCAAACACTGACAACAGACACCACAGCCGACCGTACAAGACTAGACGACACTAGTCTGTCTGAACATGAAACTCTTTATTTTAAGCTCAAACGGGCTTTTTATACAATACACACTGAGATTGATCACATGATCATATGCAAACGCAGCTATATACAACAATAGACTTAACACTCTAAACAGTAAGTTAATTAGGTTAGCTAGCTGGGTGACCAAAACAAAAGGTGAATGTGAATTCACACCTAGACAATGGTTTGATGAATTAGGATCTCACTACAGAGCTGACAGTCCTGCTCCTTCACATGTCTAGTTCAGAAACAACAACAACAAGGAATAGTCTTCATAAGGCTGATAAATATGACTGTCCCATCTGAAGTAATTCCAACCGCATTCTCAGCGTCCATTAGTCACCCTGTGCCTCTAAGAGACACAAGGTGACTTGCACATCAGAGGGATATGGGGAGCTGAGACAGGGGTCTCCCAACCTCTGCAAAGTAAGCTGGGTTCCATGAGCCCCCCACCCAAAGTGACTACCATAAAAGCATTAGAAGAAAAGTACACTGAATATGGATAAAAAGAAGGTTTTGATCTTCAAATATAATATACATTTTGTTATGTTATTTGTGAGATATATTTGTAATGTGAGCAATAATGTTATCTGATCTTTACTGTTTATGTCTAGTTTAATGAATTAAGTGTTGTCTAGAGGCCAATACGATCAATAGCTTGAATAATTTACACAGTAATTTACACTAATTGTGAAATACAGAAATTCCTCATTAAAACTCCATCATGTTGCTGTACTTGGCATCCCCATGTATTTATATCCACAGTATCCTTATTTCTATATACATAATTCATAGCAGAGTATTTAAGTACTGAAAAGGATTCACGTCACCAAAGTATTTACTATAAATGAGCTCTCATTTCATTTTATTTTATTTTAACATTTAATAGTGCAAGCCTTTAAATCAGGGGTCCTCAAACTACGGCCCGTGGGCCACATGCGGCCCACCGAGGCCTTTTATCTGGCCCGCCAGCAGGGGCGTATTTTCCGCGAGGAAGGGACACTATCTAAAGGGGTGGGCAGGGGGCTGTTATACCTTACCTGGCTCCGGTCCCAGTCCCACGACGATCCAGTCCAGGAAGCGCTGCTCCTTCATTCACTCCGACCACTCCCTCACTCCAGCAGCTTGGCTCTCCGCCTCCTCACCGGTGATTGGGCGGCAGACCTGTAGCTCAGGAAAGGCACACAGGCGGCCAATCACCTGTGAGGAGGCGAAGCCGAGCGGCCCCACAAACATCGAGTGAGGGAGAGGCCAGAGTGAAGAAGGACAGCTGACAGGTAAGTATGCCGTGCTGATGGTGCTGCTGCAACAAGGTATGCTGGCTGCAGCAGCACCATGCTGGAGCAGGGGTCAGCAAGTTAAGTGTCATTGGTGTCAGTGGGAGAAATAGTGCCCCATCATTGGTGTCACTGATACTAATGATGGGGCATTATTCCTCCCACTGACACCAATGATGGGGCACTATTCCTCCCCCCACTGACACCAACGATGGGGCACTATTCCTCCCCCCCACTGACACCAACGATGGGGCACTATTCCACCCCCCACTGACACCAACGATGGGACACTATTCCTTCCCTCACTGACACCAATGATGGGGTACTATTCCTCCCACTGACACCAATGTTGGGACACTATCCCCCCCACTGACACCAATGACGGGGCACTATTTCCCTCACTGACACCAATGACGTACTATTCCTCCCACTGACACCAAAGATGGGGCACTATTCTTCCCACTGACCCCAATGATGGGACACTATTCCTCCCACTGACACCAATGTTGGACACTATCCCCCCCACTGACACCAATGACGGGGCACTATTCCCCTCACTGACACCAATGACGTACTATTCCTCCCACTGACACCAAAGATGGGGCACTATTCTTCCCACTGACCCCAATGATGGGACACTATTCCTCCCACTGACACCAATGATGGGACACTATTCCTCTCACTGACACCAATGTTGGGACACTATCCCCTTCCCCCACTGACACCAATGACGGGGCACTATCCCCCCCCCACACTGACACCAACGATGGAGCACTATCCCCCCCCCACACTGACACCAACGATGGGGCACTATTCCTCCCCCCCTTGACACCAACAATGGAGCACTATTCCTCCCCCACTGACACTAATGATGGGGCACGTTTCTTCCCACTGACACCAATGATGGGGCACGTTTCTTCCCACTGACACCAATGTTGGGACACTAT